TGCCAATTCTTGTCCTTTTTGAAACAAACAAGGATAAAGCTATTTTCGTAAAACATGCGTGAAACGATGCTAATAAAGCCGAATAGATGTGACCTCGCGCCCTTCCATTTTTGAACGATGGGCGGGTTTAAAGGATTCCCCTCAAAGAAAATCGTAGGGGAATACAAAAATGCAGAGCGGGCAAGGCGCCATCTACAAGACAGGATTTTACTAAGCCCTCATTGTATATCTATTTATACATAATCAAGGATAATACCCAACCCAGTTGGTAAATATATGTTATCTCTGGGTTAAAAACATAGCTCAAGAATATTTAGGACAAAACTAAAGCAAAAATTACAGCATTCAACGTAATGCATTATGTCATTACGTTTTGAACAAGTATATGTTTTTTTTATCTATTACTATACATCATAGACTTTTATTTTATTTTTATTTATTTACGCAAACTTACAAAATTGGTAGTATTGAGAAAAAGAATAATTTTGTTTTATATATTAAATTGATGAGTCGGTCTCTTGATAAAGAAAAGTGATTTAATATTATATCAGTAAAATCATCAGATTGTTGAAGAGCTGTAAAAAGATCTTATTAGATTGAAAGTAAGGCAAGTGGCGATAAACGTTTATTTTTTATGGAATCTCTACTAAAAATTTTAACGCATTTCAAACATGAAGAATTTCTCTCAACCCAAGTACTTGTAAATGGTGTAGTAACAATCAAAACAAACGATTTGAAAGCCTCTGGAAATATATTTCCAGGATTATTCTCCTTAAATTATTTTCTAATCGAAATTATCTATCATATCTATTATTAATATCTGCAATTTATTCATTAATTTATGTTGGTCAATAACATTTTTTGTTTGTTAAATCAATATTAAATGCGTTGGAAATGTACCAATATAACAAGTTTGTTAAATCAGATAATGCGTTGGACATTTTTTATAGGATCCTTTAAATTTCGGAATTATTAGAATAAAAAATAAAAATAATTGAAACATACGAGTACCTATCTGCAAACCTTATTTCTAAATGTATAACAATGTTATGTAGTATTTCATAAAATAACATTTATTAACATATCGAACAGAATTAGCAAACTGAGACTTTTCTTTAATATCTGTTGTATCGTCTTCTTGCACCGAATAAAATAACGCGCTTTATTTCGGATTCTTTTATTTCTGTGGTGTGTTCTGAAATACAACCGGTTATATCATGTTGAATAAGGTTTCCAAATTGTTTTAAACGTTTTTTGAATTTTCATATAAAAGTTTTAAATGCTATGTATAATGAATCATATGAAATATCCCCTTAACGAAATATGATATATCCCCTTATTAAATATCGGGAATATCCCCTTAAGTTCTAAGCCTACTGAGCCTCCACGACTCCATGCGAAGGCGACCGGAGATTTCGCCTAAGCGCCGCCTTAATACGATACAACTCCAACTTAGTCGCGTCGCTACCGCACGATGAGTTAGACGGGGACAGAAGACTGCCGTCCGTCGTGCATCGACTCTTTCACCATCAAATAATTAGTAATAATTCATATTTCACAATCGAATTAATAATTCGAATTATTTAGTAGTATTATAAATTTAACCTAAAAATAAATTCGTCCCAGCTAGTGCTCGTCTAGGGGCTATTTTAAATAAATTCTGAACCATTGCCATACCTATATTCTATTACTGAATAAAAAAAATATATATTCTTTATTCAATGTATTCTATTAACTGTGCCGAAGCCGTTTAATAAATTAAACCATAATTTAAAGTTTTAAATTTAAAAGTGCCGAGTTTATGATTGTTTCAATTCCTATTGAAAAGCTCATATCTAAAATAAAAGCTTCTTCTAAAACGATATAAGTAGGTATGTCCTTGTTTACGTGCGGTTCGTATTTCTTTTTATTTTATCAGTTGCAATCAATAATTATTTAGATAAAAGAAGGAAATTAATTTTAGTGTTCGGCAGGTGTTCGGTGAAAAAATTTGGGTGAGATGGAAATGAACCAAATAATAGTAGTATTCTTTGGTTCTGAACGAAATGAAAATTTTCACTTAAACTGATTTATTCCTACGTGGTATAGGAAATAACAATGATTTCTGGATTTTTCTATATCGGATCGTTCCTTTCTTTGTCGATTCCCTTTATAAATCAGTTTAAGTGAAAATTTTCAGTTCGTTCAGAACGAAAGAATACTACTAATAATACTATACTAATTACAAATATTCGTATTCGTCCATAAGAGGTTATGTTTTATGTTCATTTCTGTTCATTTGTAATTCGGTTACCACAGATATAATATAAAATACTACTAATTTTTATCTCGATTATATCGAAAAAGATAATTCGAATTAGTTAGTTTTAATTTACTATCGAATTAGTCGTATTATTTAATTCGAATTTTCCCAACATTAACTCCAACGGTCAAAATTATTTTGTTTTCTAACGCAACGGCACAGTCAGTGTACACCAGCGGTAGTGAATATTTTAATATACAAGACCACAAATATTAAAATAATATTGATTATTACAACACACTTCCGTGTATTAACAGTATTTTTATGTATTGGCAACATTAATAGATGTATTAGCAACATTAATAGTAAATAATGTAATGTAAATTAAACCGCTTAAATTCTGCCAAACTTTTAGGGTAGGCGCCGCCCACCTTACCTACCCTGACGAGCCGCCACTGCATTATTGTTGCAAATCCCGCATGTTTTCATAGGCTTTTTACACAAGTACAATATTACTACTGACGTCTTGTCCATTTGAAATCCTTACCTAATTTTAACAAAATAGCATACCTAATAATTACCAATTTAAGCTGGGATGGCAAATTGCTGTAGCAAAACCCGCAATATGCATCATACTGAGACACAACCTGCTTTATCAGAATTGCTGTTTTTTCTGTTTAAAAATTAAGTACCTATTAATTTTTATTTCTAGAAAAACCAGATACAATACAATGATTTCACTTAATGAACACGTTTTTTGTAAAATAACGCTTCAAACATTTGCTAAAATAGTTTTTGCATATTATCTCGAAACAACGTTTTTGGGATAAGACGGGTTTTGCAACTTTACGCCTCATTTATTTTATTATATATAAATTTCGTAATCATAAATACTACATACAAGGTGTTCAAAGTTTAATTTAAAGTTTTTAAACTATAAAGTATTTTTCTTGTTTTTTGAACGGAACACCCTGTTAAATAATTTTCTTTTAGATGCTTTTTTAAGAGATGTAATTAAAGAGTTTCGAAATTGTAAACTGTTTCGCAGATATTTCAGGTATTATTACAGACGACTCCTTCAACAGTAAATTTTTATCATTAAGGCTTCAATAATTACTTCACTAATCACATTAAAGCCACCTAATGATTTAAGCCCCGTTCTCAGAACCATCTCAGAACTGCGTCGTGTCGCTGGCTACTGGCTACACAGTTTCACATTTCAAACAACCAATGAGAGCTGTACTAAATTTAAAATTGACAGCTGTTTGAATTTTGTACAAATCTGATTGGTTCTTTTGATGTGTCGCTGTTCTGAGAACGGGGCTTGTCCTGTATTTTGTGGTTGAAAGATATTTGAAAATATAATATAAAAATAATTAAATATTATAGAAAGTCATGTTATGGGCCCTTTTAACGTTAAAATGCAAAATTAAAAAAATGAGAAAAAATGCACGAGGTATCTTTCATAAAAATTTACTATTGAAAGAGCTGTCTATTATAATACGTGGAATATCTGCAAAATCTAAAATCACAGTGATAACATAATTATGTAATAATTTAATTAAGGCAATTGACTGTTGGTTTTCTGACTATTCACTTTATTTAAACCCCACCAAAACAACGCTTATGCGTTTTCATCATGCACAGAGGTCTGTTAATGAATTGGAGGTCACATTAGATAATAAAAATATTTCTTTTAGTGAGACTTCTTGGACTTTACATTGACTCCAGCCTTAACTGGAAAGCACATTGTGCTCAACTCGTACATAAAATAGGCTCCCAAAGTTATGTCTTAAGACAACTAAAATCAGTCCTAACATCAGATCAATTAAAACAAGTTTATTTTGCGAATGTTGATGCAAGAATGAGGTACGGTGTCTGTTTTTGGGGTTGGTCAACTCTCTTTCGAGATGTTTTCATTGCTCAAAAAAGGTGTATATGGTCTCTGGCAGGTATAGCGCCCTCACAGAGTTATAGGGACTACTTTAACAAATTTAGTATTTTAACCCTTCCATCTTTATTCATATATGAAGTGTGTCTATACGGTTTTCTCAACTATGATAAATTTAAGAGAAATTGTAATGTACATAGTTTTAGTACGAGAAGCGCCTTGGATTTGCATATAAGCATCTAATCTAAGGTGGCTTCTTGATCACCACACAATATAGGACCTTATATGTTTAATAATCTTTTAATCAATTCTGTTGGGAATGAACTTTTATAGTGTGGAGGAATACCTGCAAATTGTAATATGAGACCTACATACGTATATGATAATTTTATTATGATCTGTTGTGTTTGTTTTTGTATATTTTGTATTATATATTTGTGTAGCTTTAAAAATTTATTGACTATTCCTATACAATTGTACACTGTTTTATGGAAATAAATAAATGGGATAACAAAAATGGGATCGAGGACCACATTTTCCATATATCAAAACTAAATAACTTTACAATTAGCAAAAAAAAATATAGTGTAGAATTGTGTCAGATTTTAGCATATTTTAGTCTAAAATATCAATTGTCTCATTTTCTTACATTTTCACATTATTTGTTGTCACAAAAAAAAATGTAATATTTACTGAAATGTGAGCTAAACTTCTATGCTCACATGAGATGGTGAGATTCAACTTGACCCCCTCTCACGTCACTTTTTTACTGCTGTTAACAGAAAATATATACCAGAATGATTAAGTTAAGTAAAAAAAATCTTTAAGTTAAGTTAAATAAAAAATAATATAAAATCCTTTAGTTACCTTTTTAACTCTACAAGTTTATTTATAACTGAATTGTCTTCAATACAATTATTCAAACCCACTGTAATAGCAGGATTGCTATTCTCCAACCAGATATTAACTTTGCTAAAAGCAGAAGATGGAGCTGTACTATCTGAAAACCAGCCATAAATTTTAAATCAGAATGCACAATAATTATTTTGTACCTACCGGTAAGATAATTTTCAGTACCACTATATTTTCTAATTGCTCCAGTAGTATTTTTTGGCAAGATTGAAATCTGGTTTATTTCAGTGTTATTGTTTAAAATTTCATGTACTGGTTCTAAATTGCTTATATCATTACAAGGATTGTTTATTGTGGATATTTCATCTACATTTTTTTCTATAACATCTTCACTAAGTTTGTTGGTTAACAAGTCATTAACAGGTATTTCATGGTTTACCGATGAATTTGGAACATCTTGAAAAGAATGATTTTTGGTATTATCATTAAACTCAAGTTTTGTACTCAAAACTTTCATGTTCTCTCGTATTTTTTCAATTTCCTGCAAGTTGCAGTCAATTTGACCAGAATTCCTCAAAAGACAGTCATTAGTAGAAACTGGTAAAAATTGTTTACTCTCATCATTTGTACAGTTTGTGGTGATACCCTTTGTACATTTTCTGTCAGGAACAACTGAATTTTCTATTACAGTTGACGATAGTACATCTAAATTGCCTAACGTTCCATTTTTACCATATGTATGTCTATTTTCATCAAATGATATTTTAAGCACAGTATTTTCTAAACATTTTCTTTGATCGTCATGATACTGAGAATCGTTTTTTAAAAAGTTCGATAAAAGTGATTCATTAAACTTAGACTTACTGTTTTCATCAGACAATCTAGACTGTTTACAGATATCTGGATTTGCAAATGATAAATCATCTTCTAAAAATTTGAGTACTGAATGATTTAGTTCTGTGAATAATGCCATAGTTTTAGTGATATATTTAAGAACCAACTCCTTTTCAGCAAGTGAACTATTGCAATGCTCTGACAAAACTGTTACTTGTCTTGTTATCTAAAAAAATAGTATGGCGGGTTTATAAGCATATTTGATAATACATTGCTTTACAACTTACATTGCACAAAACTTTTTCAATGTTACTGTTTAAGTCATCCTTGTCTTCTATAAGATCTCGACAGTAATTTTTAATTTTCCTCATACATTTATAATGTAACTTTATACTAAGAAAACATTTATACATTCACAAAATACAACAAAGTCTAATAATATAATTTGAAAACAATGAATATTGAATTAAAATTGAAAAAGTTAAGCGCGACCCCTTGTGTCAAAATTAGATGATTAAATTTTCGCAATTTTTACACCATTTGATGACTGGTGGCGCCTCTAGTGTTTGTTCGGGCGGTTGGTCTTTTACTCCCGCTTATGGCCATTAAAGAAAAAGTTCTAAAGGGGGATGTTTTGTGGTGAAATGAGTCAAAAAACATAGGTTACCGTCAATTTATATGTTTTCAATTTCAAATACTCGACGCCCATTGGTCGTGACGAAATCGTCTTCCTCGACAAAATACGGCACGTTTTGGGCCAGTCGAATATCCTTATTCTATATATCCTTGGTGACGTAGCTTTCCACGGCGACTACGACAGCGGCGATTTGACGCGATCGAACAGCAGGGTTGTTAAGTAGTTTATGAAGCAAAAAACTACGCCAAAACTACGCGTAGTTTTTTGTATTAACTACGTTTAAAAATTAAAAAACTACACAAAAACTACCTACAAAAATATAGTAAAACATAAACAATTTAGACTTTAAACAAAAATCAAGCCAAATTCTTATCATGGAAGTATGAAGTTATATTATAGGTATTTGTATAAGTTAAACAACATCAAAAAAAAAGACAATTTTTTTTTGAACAAAAGTGTATTTTCTATGAAATACAAAGTAACATTGAACACAAAACAAACTATAAATTCTTATGGAGAAATTCTCCATAGACATTCTCCAGGAGAATATATGATTTTTTACATCTAAAGGCGCAACTTCATAATTCCCCTCTTCCCAGAAGGTATGGAGACATCGACGTCTTCCAACCATTTTTAACTACTAAGTATCAAAAATATCACATAATAAGGAACAAATTCACAAAATATAGATTTTTTATTTCTTTAAATTGATCAACAAACAATGTTTTTAGGTTATGTGTATGGGTTATGCACGGGATTATGTTTTCACTGCTATTTAAAAAAAACTACATTAGTTACATAAACTACACATTTACTACTCGACATTTAAAAAACTACTTGTGACATGTAGTAAATGCAGTTTATTAATTACTACGTGTAGTTTAACAACTCTGGCACAGAGATATAGAAGGGATCCAAACTAAACCACTTCCATACCATACCTCTGCCCATGCTCTGCCCTAGCAGCAAAAAGGAGACGTTAACCCCGTTAACCTGACGTTAATTTAAAATTTATATTTATCCCCGCACGAGAATTGGAGCATAGAAATGGAGTCTTGAGAGATGGGGAGATTTCAGGGAGATTATTGTCTTTGGGACAATAGTTTAATTAGACAGTATAGACAATAGACACTCGTCATATAGATCGCGGTTCGGATTCCGCGTAAACAATGTAGGCCTTACGTCCAGATTAGCCCTGGCAGCCAAAAGGAGACAACTTAAAATTTACATTTTACTCTTTTGCTATCTTCATTCTGTTATTTTTATATGTGTCAAACAAAAATATCGTTTTTTAAAAGTTATAAGAAAATTTATAAAACTTTATACAAATATTTTTATTTTGAAAAGAACCTTTAATTATAAAAATAAGTTTTTACTTAAGTTTTAATGAGAATGAGTAAACATATGTATACTACTGTAAATTATTCTGATAAGGAATTTAAAGAGCAAGGAAATCGTCTGTATAATTTGAGAAAATACGAAGATGCTATTAATTGCTACACTAAAGCAATTGTAAGCTATTACAATGTTAAATGAATATTTTTATTATAAGTATTCGTTTATTCTAGATTAAAAACCCAGATGTTGCTCAGTATTTCACAAATAGAGCACTGTGTTACTTAAAACTATTAAAATGGGAGCAGGCCTGTACTGGTATGGGATATTTAAATTTCTATACTATATAATACCGTATGATCGAATAAAAACGGCGTCCAGTTGGCTTGGAAATGACGATCGATGACATTTCCTATATAAATTTACATATAAAATGACAGCGATCTTCATTTCATAGCCATCGCTGACGCCGTTTTTATTCGATCATACGGTGCCTATCTGATTTGATATTCCGAGTTATATTCAACATTAGTGTTTTTAGATTGTCGAAGAGCATTAGACATGGATCAGAGTTTAGTTAAGGGACATTTTTTTCTAGGCCAAGCTTTGCTCGAAATTGGCAGTCTTGATGAATCAATAAAACATTTACAAAGAGGTTTGTATAAAATTAACTCTTGAAATATTCATTATGCAATTATATTTTAATTTTTTAGCCTTAGATTTAGCAAAGGAGCAAAAACTAAATTTTGGAGATGATATTGCATCCCAATTAAGAACCGCTAGAAAAAAGCGTTTTTCTTCTCAAGAAGAAAAACGTATTTTACAAGAAATTGAATTACATACATATCTAAATAGGTAAAGCTTATAGAAATGTATAATTAGGTTTTATTTTATACTTCTGTTTTCATGTATTATGAAAACACTATCTAAAATAGTTTACATTATTTTGCAGATTACTAAGAGATGACAAAGAACAACAAATTAACAGGATAAAAAAGGAGGAAATTGACAATGATACTAGAAATAAGAAAATATTAGAAACTGAGGAAAAATGTGTACGATATTAAATTATTTGAAAATATTATGTTACATAATTTTAGTTTGTTTGTGTGTTGTTTTTAGGATACCTATGTTAATGAGTTAAATTCCTTATTCCAAAAAGTAGACGAAAGACGTAGGGTAAGTAATATACTATATTTTATAGGCCCTCGCGGCTGCAGTAGAGGGTCCCATGGGACCCACTCTTAGTCAATACTGTGAGGTTCTCTTCCTTTTTGAGAACGCTTACAGACGCCGAGTTGCCTTGGTTTAGTACTCGGGCGCCACTCTCAAAGTTTATAGTGTTTGAGAGACCACTAGTGCCAGTACGGGTAGCTTTTATACAGTGGAGATACCAGGGAGTGATGAGATGAAAAGAAAATAAAACACACAATTAACTATAACGTAACACTAGGTTTTTATTTAACAAATTAATTATGTACGAAAGTAATCAAAGAAAGTTTACGTTCTCGAATTGTAACAATAGTAAAATAAAATGAATGTTTAGAACCTCGTAAAGCAAAATTTACAATAACAACCGTGTACCTCTACAGTTCTGATTGATTATTCCCAATACGCAACTCTCTGACTGACTCTATCACTCGAACACAAGACGCGTTCCCGAAGTGACGTTCCGTTATACACAGAGACGCGGTTCCCGGATCGGCGACGATATTAACAGCATCCTGTTAGACACGACGACGCGAGTTCCAGATCGGCGTCGGATTTAGCGGCGTCCCATTGGACACAGACACGTAGGTACCGGAGCAACACACTCTACAGCGACGCGACTCTCTAAACGGCGGCGACGTCGTTACAGGCGTCCCGATGGTCACAGCAACGTATTTATCGGAGCGGCGTCCTTTTAACAGCGAAACACGGACCCCGGTTCGGCGTCGGAGTTAAAAGCATCCCGTTGGACATGGGTGCGAGTCCCGGATCGATCTCGAAGTTAACAGCGTCCCGTGGCACACAGACGCGAGTCCTGGATCGGCGTCGAAGTTAGCGACGCGCCGTCCGTTGGGCACGGACGCGGGTACCGGATCCGCGTCGAAGTTAGCTACGCCTCGGCGAGTGGTACACCGTTCACATTAGCGCAGCACGGACACACCGCCCGGTCAGGACAGCCTTGGGATTTCGGCGAGATCCCGTCCAGCGTCACTGTTGCAGGGTGCCGTCCGGACGACACACCTAGAGAAAAGCGGGCGCGACAGAACCAGCCTCGCGAGTTGGGCGAGATCCTGTTCAAGCAACATAAATATTCGCTACCCGTGTGTTTACTGTACTACCTTAACCGTTAGCTGCCTCACTCTGTCACTTTAACAAAAACAAAAGAAATCGTTCCTCGCGTTCGCGCGATCCGGTCAAATAGCCCACAACCTCCGAAGAGGACACCGTTTAGCCTATCTGAGCGAATATAAGTTTTGCTATCTCTTTGCGTTCGCGCGATTCGGTCAAATAGCCCACAACCCCCGAAGAGGACACCGTTTGGCCTATCTGAACGAATATAAGTGTCGCTGTCTCCCTTATCCCTGTAACGCGCTTAGGCAGTAGAGTAAACGCTAATAACAATAAAAAGAATACGACCTACCCTCGATCACTTCGGCGGTTGGTGCTTACCTTGCAAAGTACGGCGGCGATCGGCGGCTGGTAGCTGGTTACTCGGCGGGGCACTCCGGGCTCGAACTCACAGTTCACTTTCAAGAAAAAATTGTAAATATTGGAAAGTGAAATTGACGTTTAAATTTGACACTGTTGACAAGTCTACTGCTACTAGCGCCCCCAATATCGCTTGTAGGAACTACGGACTAGATTGTCACGCATGGCGGGAATTTCAAAAAAATAAAAAAATTCAATTCTTCATTTAATTTTAATTATGACATATAATATATAAAAACACATAAAAATACATCATTTTTTAAAAATATGTTTAATATCAATATCAAATATACAACAGAAATTAATTTCACCACAATAAATTAATAAAATTAAAAGAATAATGTTACAAGTAGATCAAGAGACAAAATTAATTATAACAAAACTGAAAAAAACGTCGTCATAGATGGCTTAGAAATGAAGCATAATTTTGAAAGTAAAATTATATGGGAAATGTCATCGATCATCATTTTTAAGCCAAGTGGACGATTATTTCAAACATACAAGCTGAGTTCGTTCATAGTGCTCTGAGAAATCTAGATAAACAAAGAATAATAAATTAAAAGTATTCCAGGGGAAAAGAGAAGAAAAAACCTGTATCGTCTCTGATATCTGTCAGGGTATTGTTGAAAGTGTCATCTTTTTGCTCGAAATTTTCAAGTCGATCAAAAAGATGACATTTACAACAATACTTTACCGTAACTTTCACAAATAGCAGCTAGAGAGAGTACAGGTATTGCCTCTCTTTTCCTCTGGGATGCTTTATATCTGTTGTTCTTTGTTTATCTATATTTCTCAGAGCATAATGCCGAACACGACTACAGTATATAATAATTTCAATATCCTAAGTGGAAAGAAAAAAGATCACCTTTCTATTTTGTACTATGGTCCCTTTCTTCCGATGGCTCATCTCGTTGATATTTAGGAAGGTATCCATAAAATATATATTTTACTATCGGTGCTGGGATGAAAAAATATAAAATTCAATTTGATTTGATGATCTTTTCCTGTCACCTAAATCAGGAGAATAACAATGAGCATGTTAAGATGAAAAAAATTATTTATCAAGACTTTTACCTACACGTTAGTCCGAGGAGTTTTATCAAAAACCTATATTTGCCTAAATAATTTATGTATTAAATTTGCAAAGCAAACTGCAGCGTGTAAACAAAAGAAATAAAATGGCGACAAGTCAACGTCAACGACCCGACAAGGAGAAAAGGGGTGTTCGAATAACAGATTATGGGTCACCAAAAGTTGTTTTTGTCTCCTTTCAACGCACACTTTAGAAAGAAAAAGAGATGAACTGGAATACTGAAAGAACGTCAAGGTTTTATCTGTCACTCTTGTCAATAATTTATCGGTAAGGAAGATTCCTAGAAAATCGCTTGTAGTCAAGTTTTCAACCATTGCCAGTTCTCCCATAAGAAGTGTCATCCAAGGGGGTGACAGTGAAATAGGAAAATTAGAAACAGTCATTAGTGTCATTCCTGTCATTCTCCTCACGACAAGTATGGCCGCCTAGACAAGGACAGCATTGTTTTTGTCTAACTATTGTCTAACTTCACAGTTTAGAATTGACAGATTTCAGTTTCAGAGACAACTTCAGATTTGTTCTAGAACAAATTCGAAAATATTCGACGCCATTTTAATTCATTCCGTTTTGAAAGTTCAATTTAATATTTCGGCTGAAATTTATAATTATAAAGGTAATAAAGTATATAAAATATGTATTACATGAAGAATCCTGGAGAAAATGACGTTTCTGCAGTAATAGGTATGTCCCATGTATATGAAAAATAGGTAGTAAATAAACAGTTTTTACATTTTTTAGATGCAAGAAAATGGTGTTATAATCTCTTTGATCGGCGATTTTTTTGAAAATGGAAACAATTTACAGCAAGGTAAGATCATTTTTAACTATAGCCAACATTAGTTATCTCCAGTATGTGCGATTTATTGTCAATAATGCAATAAATCGGACTGATAATCTGATTATGTTATCCGACTAAAAGTCTCTTTTTGCTTCTTTTTGATTTATAAGCCAGGTCTCTTTGGGAATAATGGACGCTTTTTTAAACAGTATATTTATATTTTATACCTAAGATATCAATATTAAATAAATTTAATATTGATATTTTTACATTGTTAATTTTAGTATAAAAAAATGTGTTTTTCTGTTTTCAGGTTTTGGTATACCCAGGTTTTTGTATAAGGCTCCCGTTTTCATGTCCCTGTGTCCGTTTTCTGTCCTTGAAGTCTGCGAATACGTGTGTTACCCGTGTGTTTATTTACAAATTACTGTAAGTCATGCTTATACCTTAACTAATTTACGTTAAAAGTACATATAATTAACTAATTGGTATTGAAACAATACAATCCTCTATATTCTTATATTTATTTAGTCACGTTGTTCCATATTTCAAATAAATATATGTGAATAAATTATTTTTGGTTTTATTTATGAAAAGAAAAATACAAAATACGTTTGAACTGAAAGAGGGCCCGCCATTGAATAACCGGAAACGGAAATGAAAATTAAGCCATCATGTCCTTATCATGTCAACCTGTCAATTGGAAAATTAGTTCTCCAGACGACAACGAAGGCTTTCGGTGGCGTATCGTGTTTCCCACGATTTAACACAGAGTTGACACTTCTTTCTAGTTAATTATTTTATGAGTGTCATCCACTAGCCACAAACTGTCGTTTTGAACTGCTGCAGCCAAGGTACTCGACTGGCGCTCCCTCCACTTAGCATGCACTAGCAGAGTAGGGCGATCGGCGCGGACTGTTTGTTTTCTCGCATTAAAACTTAGCGACCAAAACCGATCAAAACTCTCTTACAATATGGCAATTAAATATTTAACTTATTTAATTTAACAATCGGAACACTAATGAAGTTCATTACAATAATGATTTAATAATTAACAATAAAATACATTGACTGTCATTATTAAAAGAAAATGAAGTCCCTTTTATTCTTGTATAATATTAATTAACACAATATACAGGGTCTCCCAGGAATAAGTGCAGAAATTTTTATGAACTTCATTAGAATACAATATACTAAAATCCTTAAAAATCACAGAATAATATCTCAAATTTGTCGACCTTGAATTCATATCTTCTCACAATTAAGTCACAATCCATAAACTTAAAATAAAATGTTTTGTATCTGTCACAATTACTTTTATGAGTCACGAGATTGAAAAAATGTGTTAGTGAATTTTATTTGAAGAAATTTTTAAATACACTGAGAAAATAATTTCTTTATATTTCTGTTATTTTATTGTGGCCTTTTTTGTTTTATTAATTTTAGTAAATACAAATTCAAAAAACCATAATAAGGGGAAATAACCAGGAATGGGTATTTAAGCGTTTAATGTTTCTGTACATTTTGATTTTTACAATAGTTATTAATAGAGGAGAGGAGCTGTTGTTCCATGGCAAGAGTGTAAAACCCATGATACAAAGAATACAAGGT